TGTCTTTTTGATTCATGGTATACCTCAAACCGTGATCTCCGATAACGGATCGCAATTTGTAAGCCATGAACTTCAATCTTTGTATGCCAAATATAATATACCACAAGTCCATTTGGGTCCTGTGTATTGCCCTCAGGTTAACACTGTCGAACGTTATAACCGTACTGTCATCACTGCGGTGGCCTCGTTCGTTGAAAATGACCATAGATCTTGGGACGTGAATATTCATAAGATCCAGTTCGCTATGAACACCTCTGTGAACGAATCCACGTCATATACTCCGTTTATGTTAGTTCATGGTAGGGAGGCTGTGACCGATGGTAGTATTTATGCCGGTTTCAACGATCTTGACGAGTTAGTGATAGTACCCCGGGATACTCATGCGTCTAATCTGGGTCATTTAGGTGAAATCTTTAAAGAGGTCAAGGACTCACTGCGAAAAGCCCACGATAGGAACGTTAAATATTATAACAGGCGTCGTAGGGATATTTCCTTTAACGTAGGCGATTACATTTGGAAACGGACGTATAAACAAAGCGCGGCTCATAAATACTTTTCAGTCAAACTTGCACCGAAATATGAACGTTGCAAAATAATCCGTAAACTCTCCCCACTCGTTTACGAGCTCGAAGACGAAAACGGGAAGTATGTAGGCAAATGGCATATAAAGGATTTCAAAAGCGCTGACCCCGAATAGATATTTAGGTAGGGACTTATCGCCGTGGATGTGGCGGCCGACGAATACCCATTCCGCCTTCTGCCCGGCGTGACGTAGAAATCGTCAATGGGTCTTGGTATCACACTGCATCTTAGATACCCATGTGTGGGTTCGTCCCCGATAGTGTGATCTCTTTGTTTGCCACCTAATTAATGCTTAAACACTTAATTGTCTCTTAACTTTTCCAGGAGAACATTTTGTTAATGTGCTTGTTAGTTTTTTACCTACCAAGGCATTTTATTGAAGTTGCTAATACAAATGAAAACGTATTAACAACAACTTTTATCATAATATCCTATGATGAGCATAGAATATTTATGATATTTTTTTTATTTCTCTCGGGAGACAGTAAATGAGACACACGATGGACGAACGCACAACATGTAATTTTGTGAGCAAATCGCCTTTGACCAATAACATCTCTTTGGTTAATTTTCTACCATTATGTTTTTCTCGGTATAACTGGTAACATTATAAATTTTTTTTTTTATTATATCTATTTTTGGAGCGAAGATGCTTGCGGTACGGCCTTGAGTGGTATACACTTTGTGTTACTATTGTCATTTATTATTATCTATTTTTGTTACAACTTAGAGATTTATCAATGATTTATCGTTCTGTATGTTTATTTTTTTTTTAACTTAGCGGTTTATAATATTCTATTATTTTATACAACATAACTTAATCATATCTTAACTAAAGTACATAAGACATGGGGATATACGAACGAGGGCGTTCGACGAATTCCCTACGTGAATTCTGCCGTGAGTGGGGGGATACTGTAGTGTTTGTTTTTAAACAGAGCGTGACACTGACACACGTAGGACAGCTGTTTTGTCTATGATAGCGAACCGCTTACGTCAGCGTAGCTGTCAAACTTCATTGATTGGGTTGGTAGCCTTGAGGGAAGAGTCGATTTTCCTATTCGACTAAAATATTCGCCTTGAAAATAAAAAAAAAAAAAAAAAAAAAAAAAAAAAAGTAATCAGGCGGGGAATCTCTGTGGGGGCGCGTGGATGAATGGATGGAGTTTGACAGTTGTTGAATTTTGAATAGTCTTTCCCAGATCGATTTGAGTCCTCATTATCGGGTGCTGTTTTTAATCGATTTTGAATTTAACTCGAAATTGAATTTCCTCGCTGATTTGGGTAGGTATTCCCTTTTCCTCAGCTTACGGCGAGCGTAGGTATATAGTTTTGAGTTTATTCTTCGGTTCGTCTCGAATGCGGCGGCTGTCTGTTTGACTGTGGCCTTTGCCTTCAGTTGAAGTGGGAAACAAATCATAGACACATGTTTGAGAGTAGACGATCCGTCTATCGTCTATGAACAATTGTCAAAACAACTTTTAAAATTTCACAATCTGTTTGTGGTACAGTTAACTTTTCATCTTTTCTTCTGCCCAAAGTATAATAAACGGCATATTATTGTCGTCGAAGTCGTGAGATAGATCCGAAAAGTTTATATCCCGAAGGATATTGGCGGAAAAAGCGCGGAGTCGCTAACCGAACTGAGTTTCGTGGACGAACACGAACCTTCGCAAGGCGATTGCAATAATAAGGCGGTAACTTGTGATAGGAAACAGAATACTTACGGATAGTTTCATATTTCGAACGGCTTGTACGTTCCCCTCAAGAAATACTGGAGGACTAACAAGGATACTTTTGTTCTGTGCACGGACCAGAAGGGGCGCGGGAGTTTATTTGCCAGCCGCTCTCCGGTTTTATGTAACCCGGCCGAACAGCAGACAGATTATACACAGCTTAACCTATCATATTCAAGGTATTTCTCTACTAACCCCGGGTGAACGTGAAAAGGAACCACCAGAGGCGAGGTTGGACCCCGACTTGCCCATTTCCATATATTTACATATACCTATATAACTGGTTATCTCACTGAGAACTAGAATTAACTAAGTTTGTCACCAATATCGATCAAACGAGCCGTAGAACCTCTGAAATCCACTCAATAGCTTATTCAGTCTAGTCTATGTGGTATTTGTGGATAAAATATATTAGTAAGGATTATATTGTAAGTACATGGTAAAGTGTTATGAATGTCTGATATTCATATAATTATAACCTTTCATGACAACTTGTTGGTTTATATACACATTAACTTTGAACTACTGTATTCAGCTTAGATATTTATAATTAGTGAACCATAGTTATTATATAAATAATAAACATAGTTGGACTTGTTGATTTATATAAGCAATAACTTAAAACTACTGGATTCCTATGCTTTGGTATCTAAAGTGGATAAAATATACTTATAACATTATCTTAATTTTTTGGTTTTCTTTTATTGTTCCCCCGGTGCTCTGAGTAAGCTAGTAAAGAGCTGTGGAGGGGAATTTAACATCACACCATTTAAATTTTTTCCACAGCCTAATCTAGGATTTAGAGCCAGCCCTATGCATGGCTACCACCAGCAACAGCCACGCGCTGGACCATCGCGAACTCAGCAGATGTTTGGCGCTAGGCCACCGAATTATAATTCTAACAGTAACGTGTTTCGCTTACCACCTAGGAATCAACCCGGGCAACGTTTTACGTCCAAACCAATGAGTGGAATCCAACATTTCACTCCCAGACCTTTGCCCCCATCTGGTGGAGGACTTAGAGGTCATGACTGGCGTATTCACGGGAATCCGCCCCCAAATAATTACTTTAAATCACGCGAAATGAACATGAATGAATGCTATGACGCAAGCTCTTACTATAACGACTATTATAATTACAATGACTCCGATTACACATGGCCACAGTATAGCGACAATACAGAAAGTTATGACTGTACAGACTATTCATATTATGAATATCAATCTGACCCGTTACCTTGCTATGATAATTCTCTGGATTATACAAACGCTAGTGACGCTGGCGACTCTCGTGAACCCGACTATAGTAAAAATTTTCAGAAAAGCCTGACAAAAAAGCCAAAATAGATATTAACCTACAAACTCAGAGGCAATTACCATACATTCAGATTAGCAACCCGCCTCTTAAACTATTGATCGATACCGGTGCTAATCAATCATTTATTAGTCCCCAAGCTGTAAAAAAATATTTTTAAATTTTTTAAATAACGTGCCCGCGTGACGTCAAGCCGCCGTCCTCGTTTCCGCAATCATACGATTTTTCGCCCACTTCGTTCTAACATCGAACTTAGGCAACACTTACTTAGTAATAGTCATAATTGTAATTCTTTTATATTTTTATTAAATTATTTTAAATAAATATTAGTTTTTTTAAGTTCCTTCAGCTGCAGCTAACGTAATTGGTGCGGTGTTTAAAATTGTGAACGATGCTGAGGCTGATTTGTTTTGCAGACAAGGTGATACAAATAATATATCGCATGCGAGTAGAGAGTCCCAAAATATGCAAATCATAAATCAACACCCAGTTGCAGCCGTGATTTTATGTCAAAATAATCAATTCTCGTCCATTCAACCTTTACGGACCTCTGGACAAGCATCATTTCAAGCATCACCTACTACGGTATCGATGCTATCTAACTCGTCACAAAAAGTATATGAATGACAAGTTTATGAAGTACAAGAACATGATGTACAAGGTTCTGAAATCATGGAACAATTTCTGCATTTTCCAAAAAATAAATAATTGTTACTGTGTAATGTTAATGTTAACTTTATTGAGAATTACTAATAAATATGATTAATTATTACTCAATTTTTTTTATTGTCACATAAATAAAGTGGTTTATGTATTCATACAGGTAATAAACTATCTGAGTGCCAAATTTCATCCAAATCTGTTCAGCCTTTTTGCGTGATCGAGTAACACACCCATCCATCCAATCCAATGAAGATTTCTGGATAAAATTTGGTTGTGTGTGGTAATAAATATCGAGAACTACAAAAATTAGCTATGAAATTTCTTGCTTTGTTTGGGTCAACATATATTTCTTAAGCAGCATTTTCGAAGATGAAATTCATTAAGAATAAATTTCGACCTCGACTTACTGATGAACATCTCCAGGATTTATTCTCAACAGCTTGCACCAATTTTACTGCAAACTTCAAACAGACAGTCCGCAACAAAAAAATATTCCTTTCTCATTGATATGTAAAAAATACCTTTGTTATTTCTGTAATTACATTTGTTTAATAAATATTTTTTCTATAAAATGCTGTGCGGACCGCGATGGTCATTTCATTTATTAAAACAGAGCCCGAGCGAAACAAATTGGTCATCCCTGGCTTAGATCCCTCAATAAAAATATACTTCACCCAGGCTTAGTTGGGATGCTATGTTAAAACATACTCAAATTGAATTAGAACTTTTGACTGAAATATCAGTCAAAAGTTCTAATTCAATTTAAAGAATGTATTTAAAGATATATCATATCAATAGATATGATATATCTTTTGACACTTCTGATACAGTATTGTTCTCAATATTTATTATGACAACGTATTACAACAGCAAAGTTTGAACAAATCATACTTACTTTGCTGCTAAGTTAAGTTACTATTTAAGATTTGGGAAATTAAATCCTACATAGTCATTAGGTGTAAAAGTATTAAAACTTGATATTGGTCTTAAAAATATTATATGATATTAAGTTAATCAATTTGAATTAATCATTTTTAAAGTAGTAAAAGTAAAATTTAATACATATTTTATGTATTATTTTCTACCCTCTTTTTAATATCTCTATCTATTTTTGTTTTCATAATCATTTAAACTCATTGATTACTCTATTTGCTTTAAATATTACTGTAAAAAGAAACTTATATTCTTTTATTAATTTCAGCTTATTGAATTTTTATACACAAATAACAATGATGACCCGCAAAGCTGCAGTTCAAAGTACAGAGCTTAAATTGAAACAAGCCCTGGAAGAACTCAAGGTAACAAAGGAAACTTGTCGCCAGCTACTTCGTGAACGTGATGAGGGTGAAGAGGAAATTGAGAAAAATATTCAAAGGAACACCCAGCTCAAGAGCGAACTATCCCAACTTCACTCGGAACACATGGAAGTGATTCTTCAACGAGACCATCTTAACGACACTGTCAACAGCTTTGACCAGCAGTTCAACACATATGAGAGGGCTCTTCAACGTATCACAGACCTAGAAAAAGAACTTATTGATGCAAATAACCAACTAGCACATTATAAAGAAATTCAACAACTCCAGGAAACAGCACATACACAGAGCCTTTTTGAGGAATTAATGGCATCTCCCGGAGCGCCCTTGACACAATATCAACAGCCTATTGTTTATGAGAACACTGCTGTACAAAACTGTGTAACTGGCAAGAAAAAACTAAAAAAGTATATTCGCATTAGTAAATTTATAAAAAGAACAGGAAAGTTAATTAAAAGAAATAATTGTTTTCATAAAAATATAGCATTAAGGAAGGAAAGAATGGACCTTATTGATTCTATAGATAAATATAGTTCAAAGTTGACTGAGAGTAGGCAGGTGTACGACAGTGATACAAAGAAATTACATTTAGAGATTCAATATTTACATGAGTCACTACAAACATTATCTAACAAATATTCAAATGCACAAAAACAAATAAGTGAGCATATAAAATCAGCTTCAGAATTAGTTGAACTATGCAACTACAATGCAGAACGTTATGAGTCTTTAGTAAAAAATCAATTAAGTAGTTCTTTAAATCAATCTTCCTTGCAATCAACATCATCTGAAATTATAGAGGTTGTTAATAATAATTCTCAAACAGTTAAAAATTTTGGTGGTTCATCTGTCTGTTCTGGGTCAACTTGCAAAACATATAACAACTCCCCTGTGAGGTCAATCTGCACTACATATAGTACCTCTCCCTTCAAACCAGTGCTATCTGAGAACACAACTAGAAGTAAAACAATTATGTTCTCGGATAAGTTAGGATGCGGCTTTGGATTAATGTTAAGGAATTATTGTAATGAAAGAATTACTAATATCCCAAGTAGCACACAGGCTGAATTTTCAGAAATAAGTAAGCTTTTAACCAGAATAACACTCCACTAGAGATATATAAAGGTTCTGGGTGAAGCTGAAGACTGTGCAAGAGTGATTTTTTCTAGTTTTGTACAGTCTTGCTGATTAAGAGCTGCAATAAAGAGCAACAATATACTCTTAGCATTATAACAGTTAATTAAAAAGTTACTGTCCAGCCGCTGGTTGCAACTTATTCTCTTAACTTGTAAAAAAACCTTAAGCTTGTATATGTTTGGTTAATTAGGTAACTTATAAGCTCTTGTGCAGACGTTGGCTGTACAACAGTTTGCACCAAAAGGTTGTTTAAAAGAGTAGGTTTATTCTCTTTAAATGCTATTCAAGTAAGCTTGACAATGGTCGTTTTGGGAACTCTTAACACGCTTATGTTTGCAAAGGAGAATAAAAAAATGTTTTTATATCTACTAAACTTCTAACGAGTTCTTCTTTAAAGCCAAAAGCTTTAAAGTTCTACTAAAAGCTTTAATGCAGCTTGAGGCGGTTTATTAGAATTACTCAAGAGTTTTATAATTCTAACGGCTTAATTTTACTCCTGTAGCAGATTAGGTCATTTCACTAAAGGAACAGTAGTGCATCGATTGGTGTTAGTAAAATGGACATAAAACCTTGGAAAAAGAGAAAACGAAGTGGTGGGATTAAGAGAAAACTCTCAAAACAATATTCCAAGTATAAAACTTGCGAAAATAACCAAAATTTTGATCAGCTTGGCCCATCAACGTCAGTATCCATGCCATGTCAAGAATTCAGTGAAGAGAGTGATTCAACGAATAGCGGTAATGGTTCCGTATTCTTAAAAAATATTGTTAGCATACCAAATGACAATCCTCCTGAAAATTGTAGTGATCTACCGTATTTCAGCCAGAGACAAGAGCGAGTTTTAGTTTTCAACGAGGGTTCTAGATATTCAAACATTACAGAAAATAATGAAATTCATACTCCATCCTTTTATAGAAGTTCAGACAGTGACACTGATGAAGACGCTGAAGAAAGCAAGTTTTCGAACGATATTCTATTTCGTGAACAAATAAGAAAATGGGCCATAGAAAAAAATATTGCTCAAGCAGCGTTAAAAGATTTGTCAAAAATAATAAATAGTAGATTTCCCAATACTTTACCAAATGATCCTAGAACGCTTCTACGTACTCCCAGAAGTATTAGTATAGTAGAAATCCAACTTGATGGTGAATATTGGCATAATGGACTTACAGATTCTCTTCAAATATGTTTGGAAAAGTGGGTGAATGTACCAGATATTATAAATTTAAACATCAACTTTGATGGCCTTCCTATATACAAAAGTTCTAAAAAAGAATTTTGGCCCATTTTATGTAATATCTTAGAAGATCTTATCTTAGAACCATTTGTAATTGGAATATATTGTGGAATCGGAAAACCTAAAAGCCTTGAAAAATATTTGGAGAAATTTGTAACGGAAATGAAATACTTATTAGATAATGGAATCTATCTTAGTAATTGCAACAAAACAGTAACGATCAGGATAAGATGCTTTGTTTGCGATTCCCCTGCAAGAGCCTACATAAAAGGTAAATAATTTTTTTTTCTTATCTGTAGTTCTTTCAGTCGTTTGCATATATAGTGTACGTAAGAATTAATAAATTTAAAGAATAGCCGAAAACCCCTGAGAATATAACACACATACTGCGCTTTCCAATTGGCTTGGTCCGTAATTAATGGAAATTTTGACAGCTGTTGCTCATTGTATCACATAAATTAATTATTTTATTAATTATTCTTTTGTTTATTTTACAGGTGTGTGTAACTTCAATGGGAAACATGGCTGCCTAAAATGTAATACTGTTGGAGAGTACTCCCACAACTCACACACTGTATATTTTCCGCAAGTAACGTCTTCTGCTAGAACAAACGATGGGTTCAGAGGTAAACAGTATGGTGCTCATCACAAGTCTGACTCTCCACTTTTACAGCTCCCAATAGACATGGTAAACGATTTTCCAGTGGCAGATTGTTTACATCTCATAGACTTGGGTGTCATGAAGAGATTGCTAATTGGTTGGCGAGATGGCAATTTGGGAAAATTTGTTACAAAATGGTGTTCCAGAAACATAGATGTGGTAATGATTTTTTTACTCAAATGTAAACTTCCGTCTGAGATACATAGATCGGTCAGAGGTATAGATTGTCTTGTCCACTGGAAAGCTTCTGAATATAGAAGTTTTTTGTTTTACCTGAGCATCATTATACTGCCAGATGTGCTACCACGGGATGCATTCGTGCATTTTCTGTTTTTATATTGCGCAATAACGATATGTTCCAGCAAGGAATACTTGCATTTTTTGCCATTAGCAAAAGAGTTGCTCCAGTATTTTGTTCAACATTACAAAGATTTTTATGGGGTAGATTATATTACGAGTAATGTTCACAATTTACTCCACGTTGTTGAAGAGGTGGAAAGATATGGCCCGCTGCAAACTTTCAGTGCATATCCTTTTGAAAACAAATTATATTTGTTTCGTCGTTAATGCGTAGTTATTCAATAAAGCTCAGTTTTCTTGTACAATGCGTATATTATGAAGAAATTACAAGATAAAATATATGAGACGAAAAATTGCTTGAGAAAAGTCGAGAGCGTACAAATTTGAATTGTGTAGATAGAAGTATAGGGGGGGTTTTTCATCACGTGGGTCACAGCTGCTCTTACTGGTAGAAAGATGATGCGACGTTCCGGTGCAGGCAGAATTTCTTATTGTCTTGCCTGAACATGCCCCCGGCCTTGGAAGCACCAGCGTTCAACACCGTGTCTTCTTGACCACAACCGTTCGAGCAGCCGCCCGGTAGGTTAGTTTGATTTCAAAGATTCAGCCTGCGCTAGTATAATATAATAATTATCTTCGAACCATCGACGGCTAACTCTCTAGTTGACTCTTGATATCGTTTCATACAGGCGCAGTGAGTGGTCGACCAACCAGGAATAAGCTGGACTTTAGGATGTGAAGTTATGGGGGTCTGTGGACATAGGACTAAAGGACGAGAACTCAGGACGGCCTCAATTTTGTTAACACCGTGCTGAATTTCTCGTAGGTTAAAAGTGCGTTACCTAACGTTTAATTTTGCAGAAAATTTACACACCTGCCACCCATAAACCACCAAAATGAGGTTGTGATACTGACTTATAATATAACAATTTCATGTGAACAGTTATCTAAAATCTTTTAGAATTTTTGAAAACCAATAACGAAATGAAGCGTTTCAATGCGAATAAGAAAGCGTTCGTACACAAGTAGCGTACGAGTTCCATGTGTATTGCGCGTGCAGTGAAATAAACAAATACGATTTGTAGTCCTGCTACTATTGCGATTGAGAATGAGCATTGGCCCAGTGCAATCTAAGTACTCCGGTACGCATTAAAGGGAAAACAGAAGTCAGCCGTTCACTAGGGAGATCCGCCACCAAAAGAGAATAGATTTGCCTTTCAGCCTCTGTTAATGTTGGCACCTATATAGCGTAATGAAGATTCGCATAGTGCTTGAAGCTGTTAAGCCATTCACAAATCTAGTCAATGAGCGCAACATATCTCGCGGTATCTCGTCATCCCGGCCTAACTGCAATAACTGCAAAGAAATTGAATTGGTTAAACCTTACCTTATGTTTATTCTAGAACTGAGTAAACCTAAAGAATCAAAGTTTTGTGAAACATAATGATAAAATTGTGCATTTATTTATTTTATCAAGTAATGCCACCTAGTGTGTTAAAGTAAAATTCGTCGGATAGGTAAATTTTGGATATATTGCATCAGCTGAAAACCTAATGTTTTTCTCTGACCGTTCTCCTTGCGGAATGAAGTAGACGCTAATGATTGCTCACAAAAAAAAAACAACAACCTCACTTTCACATTAGAAATCAAGCAGACAGACGACATAACTTGTGCAGTCTGTGCAAAAATCTTTATAAGTCACATTTATATATAGGTATATCATTATTAATTATTTTTTTCTAAATACTTGGTACCGTACATTCGAACGCAACTTGCTTCAGGCATCTAACATTAAGAAATAGTGCAGACGCGGTCTCATGTACACGTTACGGTGTTAAAACTAAAATACTAAAAGCTACTGATGGGTCATCACACCAGACAAGCAAAATGTAGGTCTCGTTGCGATTCGTGTACAAGGCATCCATCATCTGAATGTCGTTCAGTGACAAACCATTAAAATTATCTGCGCTTAAGTGAAAAACCACACGGAAGTTTAGTGGTTGTGCTATGCTTGCGAAACACACCGTAATGCGTAAAATAATGTGGCGTTCCATATAAATAAACAGTAAACAAACAAACAAACAGATATTTCTAACACACACACCAATTACCGTAGCCCCAGAGTAAGCAGTGTTAAGCTTGTGTTGTCTGATACTAGAGTAAATAAATGGAATATTTAAACTGATATATATATTTATATTACCTATATTTATTTATTTATATAACTAGAAATACAAATAAAACTCCATGACCTAAGTTCGAGTGATCGTATTCATCATACACACATCACTTTAGTCATATAAACTTAGTCGAAATATTCATTTATAAAATTAAAATACAGCCTTTTTTAGCTGTGTTTCACATTTAATTTCTTAACAAGGGCCAAGTAACGATACTCGGTTTAAGGAAAAAACTAGCCTGATTTAGTTGGTGACTCTGAGCGCCAAGCACACGTAAAACATTCCGTTTTTATTGCGCATCGTAGTATAAACGAATGTTCCTCGCAAGCACGCTCTTCGTAAGTGCGTATGTCCAACTTGAGGCAGTTCCTCTAATTCCCAAACCCTTGCAATTGGTATTCTATCGGTGTATGAAATTATATTAAAATCGTTTAATGGGGCCAGAAATTATCCAGCCCAATTTGGAATTTGTAAAATAGGTCCATTGGGAAGCCTTATTTTACCTTTGCTTAAAGATACATATG